TAATCTCCCAATTCTGACTTTTTTCTTGAATTCTGACAGCTAACAATCATGTCAGCATCCAGCTGTAGCCATGTCTAGAGACTAAACTAGCACTCTTGTTTTAATCACCCTTTATTTTTCCATTAATAAAATGGCATCACCAGGGACCCCTCGGTCACTTAAAAAGTTGCCTGATTCCATCATTTTCCACCAATGTGTTACTGGCCCTGCCAAACAACTCCCATCTTTGTCAGTGAAGCTGAGTGCTCCACATCTTTTCCTTCATGGTGCCCATCTACATTAGGATCCATAATTCTGGGAAAGAAGTCTGAATTCTGACTTTTTTCCATAATAAACTGAAATAATATTTAAACATCAGTTAACTTTTTTTCATTTTTTCCGTGGCCCTAATCGTCTTCCGTAGCTCAGACTCCACAGCTAACATGTTGATGTTCTAATGCTTCTAGATCCTCAATGTGGATTGGGTCCATGTGGAAAACAGAGCGAGCGACATTGCAAAGTCAGATAAAGGAGTCCAGCTGGTCCTGGGACAGCTGATCGATGAGTGAGTATCAGCTTCATCCTCAGTGAACCAGAGGAAGATGACCTCCATCCGCTGATCTGTGCTACTAGGAGATTATTGGTCTGATCCAGGATGAAAGATGGTCTCCTTTACTGTCAGTCCTGGAACTGATCAAAGGAAAAGTCCGGTCATCAAGGAATAATGTTCAAGTAAGATGGCAGCTCCGTCACCTCCTCCATCTGTGTGCTCTGCAGCGCGTACCTGGACCGCCTGGCTGAGGAGGTGAACGACAAACTGCAGGAGGCCGGTCTGATCAGCATCGCAGAGCTGTGTAAAACCTACGACCTCCCAGGAGACTTCCTTACTGAGGTGAGCCGCTCCTCACGCTGCGGTGGATTTTACCATTTGAAGGGAGAAACATATTGTTGTTTTTTTTCTCTCCATGTTTCAGGAGCTGTTAAAGCGGCAGGGAAAGCTCATCCAGGGAGAGATGGACCAGTACAACAGAGGCATCATCTTCACCACAGCTTTCGTCGCTCGTCACAAAGCCAGGATCAGAGGCCTGTTCAGTGCCATCACCAGGTGCTTCCACCTTCCACACGGATCAGATCACAGGCAGCAGCTGTTCTGTAACCGCAGCTGGCTTTTCCTCTTCTGTTCTGCAGACCGACGCCCGTCAGCAGCATGATCGCAGCGTTTGGATTCCAGGAGAACCTGCTGTATAGTAGGGAGATGTTAGCTTGAACGTTCAGTGTCACAAGTAGACGGCCTGTTGCAGCCTGTTGCATCTTCACCTGTTGGTTTCCCTCCCAGCCGTGTTGGAGGAGCTGGTGAACAGCGGCCGCCTGAAGGGAAGCGTGGTGGGGGGGCGCCAGGACAAGGCGGTGTACATCCCAGACATCTACTCCAGAACGCAGAACGCCTGGGTGGACTCCTTCCTTCAGCAGAACGGCTACTTAGGTCTCTGCTTGATTTCTCTCCTTTTAGCTGCTTCTCTCTCTGCTTCCTTGAACTGATTTGTCTTTGACCTGCCGAGGTCGATGCCCTCTGCTCTGAGGCGTGACCCCTGCTGTGATCTTCCCCCTGCAGAGTTCGACGCGCTGCTCCGGCTCGGCATCCCCGACCCTTCCAGCTACATCAAGAAACGCTTCAAGGCCAACAAGCTGCTGTTCCTGCGGGCGGCCTGCGTGGGTCAGGCTCTGGTCGACCAGGTGGAGGCCTCCGTGGAGGAAGCTGTTAACTCCGCCACCTGGACTGACCTCCAGGTTAGCCGCTCAGCAACCTGCTGATATCTAACATTAGCAGCGATCAGTTCCAGTTAGGGTCAGATTGGAGACGAGCTGCTGTTTAACCCTTTATAGGGAACAATAATACTTGGAAAATCAAAATTTTAAACCAGAAGTTCAATTCAGTTTATTTCTATAGCGCCAATTCACAACACATGTCATCATAAGGAACTTTACAGTCATGATTAAAGTTTTCTACCTTAGGAAACTAGTTCAATCTAACATATTGGTTTATATAGCACACAGACAAGCTAACAAAATGTTCAATAAAGGAATCGTTTTAGATAAACAAGCTTTCCATCCCAAAGCAAACACTTATTGATCTACATTAAACATGGATCAATAAATTCTACATTATTACAAATATAGACAAATTCTGTCTATATTTCATTATTTTACCGCTAAAATGTTGAAATATTTAAAGGAAACAGAGAAAATGTTTTAATGGCAATACAAGGAAACATTTACATCATATTTAAATAAATAGAAACGAGATCAATGCCTTTTCACTAGGCTCTTTATCTAAATAAACATTTTTATTGGATATAATGTAGGGATTCCTTTAGGTAGAAATTAAACTATGTTTCGCTTCACCTCTTGTGAGCTGGAAGAAAAAAAATCCTGATAGATAGACAAAGGGATTTTTTACACTTATCAGAGGAGGATCAGCCACATAGTTTTTTAAGTAGCGAGAGCAGGAAGAGCCGTACTGCTGAGAGCGAACCATCAGTGTGGAATGTGAAGTGCAGACTCAAGCTGCGTTCACACCAAACGCAGCAAGAGCAGCAAAAACGCGTCTGCTGCTTCATTTTTGATGCTTGTCCAAGTTTAGTTCTGACGCTGAAGCAGCTTTGCTGCTCTGGCTGCGCGGTCGAAAAGTGTGTCTGACGCGCGTTGGGCGGAGCTACCCTATCCTTTCTCTGCCTTGCAGCTATATTTGCTGTGATCAGTGGGAATAAAGTAGTTTTAATATGTTTTTAAGTCAGAAAATCCACCTGAAAACTAAATCAGTGAAGTCAGTCCACTCAGATTATCATCCTGCCTTCCAATATTATTNAAGTTCAATTCAGTTTATTTCTATAGCGCCAATTCACAACACATGTCATCATAAGGAACTTTACAGTCATGATTAAAGTTTTCTACCTTAGGAAACTAGTTCAATCTAACATATTGGTTTATATAGCACACAGACAAGCTAACAAAATGTTCAATAAAGGAATCGTTTTAGATAAACAAGCTTTCCATCCCAAAGCAAACACTTATTGATCTACATTAAACATGGATCAATAAATTCTACATTATTACAAATATAGACAAATTCTGTCTATATTTCATTATTTTACCGCTAAAATGTTGAAATATTTAAAGGAAACAGAGAAAATGTTTTAATGGCAATACAAGGAAACATTTACATCATATTTAAATAAATAGAAACGAGATCAATGCCTTTTCACTAGGCTCTTTATCTAAATAAACATTTTTATTGGATATAATGTAGGGATTCCTTTAGGTAGAAATTAAACTATGTTTCGCTTCACCTCTTGTGAGCTGGAAGAAAAAAAATCCTGATAGATAGACAAAGGGATTTTTTACACTTATCAGAGGAGGATCAGCCACATAGTTTTTTAAGTAGCGAGAGCAGGAAGAGCCGTACTGCTGAGAGCGAACCATCAGTGTGGAATGTGAAGTGCAGACTCAAGCTGCGTTCACACCAAACGCAGCAAGAGCAGCAAAAACGCGTCTGCTGCTTCATTTTTGATGCTTGTCCAAGTTTAGTTCTGACGCTGAAGCAGCTTTGCTGCTCTGGCTGCGCGGTCGAAAAGTGTGTCTGACGCGCGTTGGGCGGAGCTACCCTATCCTTTCTCTGCCTTGCAGCTATATTTGCTGTGATCAGTGGGAATAAAGTAGTTTTAATATGTTTTTAAGTCAGAAAATCCACCTGAAAACTAAATCAGTGAAGTCAGTCCACTCAGATTATCATCCTGCCTTCCAATATTATTTCTGTCAGAGCCGCTCAGACCCCCACATACCAGCAGTGCGCTAACACTAGGAATCCCGTTCAACAGCAGCCTATGGCCCAGTCGCCTCCTCGCAGTTTACTGCGGCGGCTGGAAGCAGTTTCCATGCACGTAATCCAAACTGCAGGCACCAGAATAATAAAAATGAACATATTTTGCCGGCAGGTTTCTACATTTTAAGTTAATTTAGGCGTTAATAAACTGTTTCAGAGGAGTGATCATAGCGCTCTGTGTCATCAGCAATGTGTCTGTCTCCCTGGCATCTCCCAGATCAGCATCTCTGATTGGTTGATGCGGCGCGTCCAGCAGCAAAAGTTACATTTTCCATCTCGAGCAGCAGCGCGTTTGCCATGCTGCGCCTACTGCTCAAAACGCTGCACCTTGACGCGTGTCAACCATTGACTTTGCATGTAACCTAGCTGCTCCTGCTGCGTTTGGTGTGAACGCAGCTTCAGAGCTACACGATCGCAAAGACTCATCTCTGCACAAGCAAAAATGGAAGATCAGAGCAGAATTTGTCGGCGTTTAATGCGCAGTCCTGGATCTTTCCGGGTTATTTTCTCAGACCCTTCCACTGCTGCTTCCATCTGTGCTCCTGCAGCATGAGCGACGCTGTTCAGCAGTTGGGCGGCAGGATCAAACAGGACGCAGCAGGACAGCGGATATTGTTAGGCAGGTTACAGCACGATGATGCAGTTTATACATCTGACCAACGACCCGCTATTTGTCATTTAGTCTCGCCGCGTTTACTAAAACTCGTCATCAAAGATCCATGTTTAGCTCGTCAGTTTTTGTTATGGTCATGAAAAAAACGAGCGTCAATGAAATGATTTCTTCATCGTTGACTAAACCAACACTGCTCCCCGTACGGAGTCAGGGTGACGTGGAAAAAAGAGATTAAAGGTGTGACTCAGCCTGAACACATTCCTGCTTTATTAGATTATTAGATTTATTGTTTCTTTATGTGCAGCCTCAGTGCTGTAAACACCAGAGCTCTAAATGTATTCATCAGCTTTTTGATGTTCTACGAGCGCCCAGCACGGCGGTGGCTGCGTCATGCTTACAGCTAACCCAATGTCTATTTACCTGATCTGTTTGTTTCCTCTCCTTCCAGTCGCTCCTGCCCAGCTGTCTGTCCACGGAGGACGTCGGGATGCTCATCAACCAGGCCATGAGGAACGCCAATGTCCAGTCCCAAGCCAGAGTGCTGGGCGGCACCGTGGTGGTCAGCGAGAAGTTCATCACTAACTGCCAGGCGTTATTTGAGGACGCCATGCAGAAGAAGGCGCAGAAGGTACAGCTTCCCCTCCGCCCACTCCGTTTCCTCACTCCTTCTGAGGGTTCTGGTTGTCTGTAGGGCCCTATAATTTCCGCCATCACGGAATCACGGAATTGGCAAATTAACGCGGAATCTAGTGTAAACGCAGAATTTCTACATTTGAAATGAAATTCTGTTTTTGTGTGGGAGAAGAACGTATGTTGGGGGGGAAATGCACACCGGGGGGATGCAAATCTGGGCGACACAACCCCTCCCGCTCCGTCATTTCCGCTCACAAAACATTGAAAAAATGGCGAAGCGGCTCTCCACAGCTCCGCTTTCAGCGAAAAAGTTGAGAAACACGACGCTACGCCCCGAGTACAGAGCCCAGCAGTTCCCTCCTGACTTTTACGTGTCAGGGCGACTATTGTTTTGCAAGTTTTGTCAACATTCCATTGATTGGAAGCGAAAAAATAAAAACATAAAACGGAAAAAACAGAATTTTCAAAAATGTAAGCGGAAAAACGGAATTTGAGAAAAAATAAAATGGATTTTATGGGCCCCTATCTCTGCTCCTCAGGAGGTGAAGAGCAATCCGGTGTTCCTGATAACCGAGGAGGACCTGAAGCAGGCGTCCGTCATGACTGAGAGCTCCGCTCCGTCCAAGAAGGAGAAGAGGGAGGCGGAGCGCAGGAAGAAGGCTGCAGGTGCGTTTGCAGGCGTCTGCTTCCTGCCGTCAGAGCGGCTCTAACCCGTGTGCCTCTGTCTCCCAGAGGGCAGCGGCAGCATCAAAGCCGGGGGAGGGGGCAACGCCAGGGAGATCCGCATTCGGAAAACCAAGAAGAAGACGAGGAGAGACGAGGACAGCGACGAGGAGAGCGGAGCGTCACAGCAAAGTAAAGCAGAGCTGCTTCCTCTGTGTCTCTGTTTGCATTTTAAAGCCAGCTTTATTGGCTGGAACGTTTCCCCCGGGTTGTTAAGCTTCTTTTGCTTTTTATGGATGACAAACGCAACAGAAATATCCCAGCGAGGCTCATTAGCTTGTGTTTTACCTTTGCCAAGATCGCAGCAAACAGAGCGAGGCTCCCTTTATGGCGCAGGAGGAGATAGCTGCTGTTATAGAGGAGAGAGTGACGGACTGCCCTGAAGAAATCCTCTCTGAGCTGGCAGAGCAGTTAGTGAGGTAACACCACTCATGTCTGCACTGAGTTCATCCTGCCTGAACAGTTCACCAGCAGTCAGTGCTGCTCCTGTGCCTGCAGGCCTCTGAGCAAAGCGTACCAGGAGGTGCTGCGCTCCGTCTTCCAGTCCTCCAGCAGCTCGCCTTCAGGCGCCGGCAAGAAGAAAAGCATGAAGGACCTGCAGGAGGAGATCACCAACCTGTACAACAACATCCGGCTGTTTGAAAAAGGCACCAAGCTCTTCTCAGGTATCCTGTACCATCAACTCCTTCTAACTACATGCTGCACATAAAACCACAGACCTTAAATGATTTAAATGAGGGAATCTCCTACTGGAATAAGTAAAATGATCATATTCTAATTGATTCCATTGATGGATTATCTTAAGCTGGGCATACTCTGTGCGATATTTTCAATTGTTGCACGCAGCTACAGCTCACACTGTACGACGAAACCTCAGGGATTAAAAGTTCCCAGCTCACAATGTTTGTTCTCACACTGAAAAACACCCGACGCTCTGATTTAATCTACCTGCTCACACTGTACGTCTATAAACCAGGTGGGGCTCAGCTCCGCGGTGAGATGGCGCTACTCAGACTCGTCTATCCAGAAGCCGAATCAGTAGATGCTCTGCTGATGCAGAGTACTATGATCACTCCTCTGAAACAGTTTAACTCCTAAATTAACTTAAAACATAGAAACCTGCCAACAAAATATGTTTGATTAAATTATCCTAGTTCAGGGGTGCCCAACCTTGTTTAGACCAAGATCTACTTTTGAAGATGATGTCATGCTGAGATCTACCAATCCAAACACAACGGATGGGCAGTATTTGTTTTTTATTTGCACAGGTGGAGAATAAACAGTAAGTCCAACAAACCAGGAAATGATCAATTGTGTTAAAAAATAGGTTGCAAAAACAGAACTTAACAATCTCATAAGAACTTCACACCATATCACTCACTCACTCATCACAGGGTTCCCGCAGGTCCTTAAAAATAAAAATAAAACTAAGGCCTTAATTGGTATTAAAATGTCATAAATCAGTCTTTCGTAGGTCTTTATTTTTTAAACATCATAAATAGGATTATTTTTATTAGGGTTTATTTTTATCATCTAAATAAAACATTAAAATTGAAAAAAAAAATTTTATTTAAAAAAAATAGCTGCTCTCCATTATTGGTTCCGTCCCGATAGCGGAACCAATAAATGCGTTGTTGCGGCCGGGACATTTGAGAGATGCGC